AGTTTGAATTGGGAAAGAGCAGGCCACCACCTACACCCTGATCAAGCACTGGCTGCCCATAAGGTCTGCAGTGCACACAGGAGAGAAGCCCAAATTCAAGTCGGCATAGTCAGTTTCGATACTTGCATATGACCTCAGTGATTTACAGATTTGCTCCACCTGGATCTGGAAATCAATGTCATGTCAGAATGTGCGCGCTTTCCAACTGCTCCTCCAAAGGCTGACCAATCCCCATGCCAAATTTGCACTAATAGAAGTGACTTTCCTGTTATCTCTCAGCTCTGTGTTCTTGGAGAACCCTGGCACAGGACGCAGCCTGTCTGACTCACAAAGAATCCTCCCCCACCCCATCCTCTACCTGAACAATACTGATTAAGATGCAGTGGGAGACATACCTAAAGCCCTCCAGATAAGGGAGCAACTGCCCTAGGTCTCATTTGCATACGAGATGGAACCAGATGACCATTCATTTACATGGGAGATGGAGAACAGAAAGCCCGAAGCAAAGACTGCAATGAATTCTGGGATCAGAGAAGCAGGGGAGCACTGCATGATGGGGAATCTGTGCTCCAAATGCTAATCAACCCATATTTACACACACCCAGCTCAGCATTTATCAGACCAATTCTAATCTGGATTTACAAAGGCCCTCCCCCGCCCCCCACCCCAACACACACACCTCATCTACCCAGAACTAAGCAGAAGTAAAGTTTAATAGGCATCTCAGGCCGTATATTCCCCAGTCCCACTATGGGAGGCCTAGTTAAATTTGATTGACTAAAACTCGGTTGCCGAGTTAGGGAATGCTGAGGCAAAGAAACTGAGTCAGAGGGGGTAGGGGCAACATTTGAACAATGGTTATGGGTTCATCACAGTGTCCAGCCTGTTGGAGCCCTGACCAAAAGTTTTGTCATACTTTTCCCAGGATGACTGGTGGAAGTCCTCCCCACAAATGCTTATGAACACCCCAATAATTGCTTTAAGTCTGTTAAAAGACTATAGTAAGATCTGGAAAAGTCATGCTAAGCTGAGGCTTGTTCACAACAAGTAAAAATCCAAAATCCTGATGCTGCAAGCTATCTATTGTTTCTGAAGAAACCATGAGATATCCCATCAGTATATCTGCCATCCATAGGAATTTCAAGCTGGCTCCCAAGTATTTGGTTATTCCCCAATCTTAAGTGTTTCCTGATTATCAATCAGTTTCTTGAGATGTTCCAAACCAGATAACCCCTTGTCAATAGAAAAGACAATGATTTACACTATTGAGGATGCATCGAAGCAGCTGAACTGAGGGTATAAAAATCTGTAAAAAGTGTGGGTGCTTCAGAAAGGGAAGAAAAAGAAGTAGAAGCAGGAGGAAAGAAGGAGAAGAAGAAAACCCCTGTGCTGACACCATCCCCTGTCGTTCTTAGGACGCTGGAAGAACAGATCATCTCTCTTCAAGAATTATGCTATGGGCTGTGCCTGTCAGCTCTGCAGCCTGAGTACCTTGGACTGGTGAGATCCCAGTGCTCTCTCTCTCTTTTCTCTCTAGGCATAAACTTCTGAACCTGACCTGTATTAGTTAAACTTGAGCTAAGTTTTCCAAAATACTTAGTGAAACCAGGGTAGTACTGTAATTGTTTGTGTTTGTTTTTCTTTTGCATATCTATTACTACTAGTACCATTATATATTTCATATGCTTAGCAATAAATAACTTTTATAGTCAAACTGGTAGTAATTGGGTATATTTTTCCTTCTCTGCTTCTCTTTCCTCCCG